GTCAGGCAATTTTATCAATCTACGCTCTATAGGCTTTACCTAATCACTCTTTGATCATGAAGCATGGACTGATACCAAGGATTTTGAGAACGGTAATTTATACTTCCCAGAAGATGCTTGTTGTTTACAACTGTCATGTATATATGTTGCGGAAGACGGTTATCGGATAGAATAAAATCGTAACTGATAATTTGAGAAAATAAAAATGAAGATAAAGAATACACAAATTTTATGTGGAAAACCCCTAAATAATATAGGGTAAAAATCACGGGCAACGGTAGAAGAATTTCACTATGAGAAAATAGGAATTACAACTTCTCTCTATCTACCAAGGAGAAAACAATAATAATTATCTCTTGATAAAAAGGAGAAAACAACTCTCAAGAAACTCTCTAAATTCTCTAGTATTGGGAGAAAGCTAGAATGATTTGGGATATTTTTTAAGCTAAATAGGTTAGGGTATTTATAGTTGAAGCTTAAGGACTAATCTTGTAAATACCCTAAATTACAATGACTAAATTATGATTTTACCATTGTCCAAATTCAACTAAAACCCAACTAATTTTCAGTGCCCCATTTTTAATTCATTTTTTTAACATGCACCGAAAGTGCATTAAGACTTTTCAACAATCTTCCACTTGAATATTTAATTGGAATAATCACATCTTCACACCATTCTTTCTACCTTCTACCATCATGTTGCTTACGTTTCTGGCAGGCCACAAGAGGATCGACACCAAGTAAATTTATCAACATTGATCGCCTTCGTCATGAAATCTGTTATGTTGTCTTTGGTATGAATATTCTGCATATCTACTGTCCCTTCTTCCACCTTTTCACGAATGAAATGGTATTGAACTCGTATATGCTTTGTCCTTGAATGAAATGATGGATTCCTTGCTAAATGCAAGGCACTTTGACTGCCACAAAACAGAGAGACATACTCTTGATTGTGCCCAAGCTCCTCCAATACCATCTTCAACCAAATTGCTTCTTTACTGGCTTGTGTAGTTGCTACATATTCTACCTCTATTGTGTATGTAGCCACAACTGATTGCAATTTTAAAACCCAGCTTACAACTCCACCAGCAAATTTGAACACATATCCTGTAGTAGATTTGTTTTTATCCAAATCCTCTGCATAGTCAGAATCGACATACCCATTGATAAGTAAATTTGATCCTCCGTAACATAATGCAACATTTGAGGTCCCTTTGATGTATCTCAGGATCCTCTTTACTGTATTCAATGCTCTTTGCCTGGATTCGCCATGTACCGACTAACCACTCCCACTGCTTGTGCAATGTCTGGTCTTGTGCATATCATAACGAACATTAAACTTCCCAATGCTGATGCATACGGTACTCGAGATATCTACATCCTCTCTTCTTCACTGCTAGTACTCATATTGGAGGATAATTTGAAATTAATATGAAGAGGGGTAGAAATTGGCTTACAATCTTGCATGTTGAATCTTGACAAGATCTTCTTCAAGTAATTCTTTTGTGAAAGCCAAATCTTCTTATTACTTATGTCTCGGTGAATTTGCATCCCTAGAATCTTGTTTGCTGATCTCAAGTCCTTCATTTCAAATTCCCTAGCCAGTTGTGCCTTCAATTCTTCAATATGATATTTGTTGGGTCCTGCAACCAACATGTCATCCACATACAATAGCAATATAATAAAATCGTTATCACCAAACCTCTTGAAATAAGTACAAGGGTCTGCATTAAGTCTGTTGTATCCAAGGCACATAATGAAGGAATCAAATCTCTTATACCATCACATCGCCGCCTGCTTTAGACCGTACAAAGATTTGTTCAACCTGCAAACCAAGTTCTTCTTTTCGTCTTCTTCAAAACCGTCAAGCTGGAGCATGTAAATCTCTTTTTCAAGATTTCCATGAAGAAAAGTTGTTTTAACATCCCTGCTGATGATCACTTTATAGGCAGTATGATCCCAGAAGCGATACTCCTTTACTCCATCAGCATACCCTAAGAATTTGAATTTCCTGAATTTTTGATCTCATATCTCCTTAGCTGTCTTCTTCTCCTCAATGCTTGACAATACTTCATCTGTTAATGCTAGATGAAGGTTTGTCATAGCATTCCCTTCTATCTCGTTCCATTTGCTGTCATCTGTTAAATTTACCTGCCTTTCATCAGGATGACCTTCATCTTCAATTTCCACAATGAGAAATTTCTCTCATTGAACTTTTTAATATCAAATTTCGTTGTCATAGCTTCTATTACGGATAGCTCCTAATATTTCACTATCGTGAATAGTTCTCTAGAACCTTCAAAGAATGTATAATACCTTCTTACTTTTTTTTGTTGGAGGATCCACCTTTTTGGCAACCACAAAGACAATAAGTAGATATTACACACTCAAATCTGGCTCTGATGCCAATTGTTGCGGAAGACGGGTATCGGATAGAGCAAAATCGCAACTGATAATTTGATAAAATAAAAATGAAGATAAAGAAGACACAAATTTTATGTGAAAAACCCCTAAATAATATAAGGTAAAAACCATGGGCAACGGTAGAAGAATTTCACTATGAGAAAATAGGAATTACAACTTCTCTCTATCTACCAAGGAGAAAACAATAATAATTCTCTCTTGATAAAAATGAGAAAACAACTCTCAAGAAACTCTCTAAATTCTCTAGTATTGGGAGAAAGCTATAATGATTTGGGATAATTTTGAAGCTAAATAGGTTAGGGTATTTATAGTTGAAGTTTAAGGATTAATCTTGTAAATATCCTAAAGTATAATGACTAAATTGTGATTTTACCATTGTCCAAATTCAACTAAAACCCAACTAATTTTCAATGTCCCATTTTTAATTCATTTTTTTCAACATGCACCGAAAGTGCATTAAGACTTTTCAACAATATATATATACCATGAAACATAATATCGTTAAGTATTATAAATTAAAGAAATTAATTAGCCCTAAATATAAATTGTAGGTTTTATTTTAATATGATCAAGAGTTGTACCTTGACCCTTATCATCAAGCTTCTTGCTCCGATACATCTATAAGCTGAATAACCAAAAAAATTGAAATTAGAATAATTACATTTCTGTACTGTCTTCTTTAAAAGAATTTTAATGTTTTAACACATACCTGCAAATGACTCTTGACATGAGCAATACTAAGACCCTTGATATTCATTAGTTGCAAGACCAATTTTGGAGTTGCTCCTACACTAAGGATCATATCAAAATAACTGGATAATGGGTTTCATTATATCTTAATTAAAAGTATGAAAATCAATCCCCCATACAAAGTAGATTAAAGAAATTTTCAAAGATCTTACTCTCTTTACCACCAAGTATGTCCACGGCTCGAACAAAGCTAAAATGAAGTTCAGGGGTCCATCGCAACCTAGGCATCCTTGATCTTACATAGGGTCGCACCCCACTTGAACTAATTTCCTTCTTCTCACCTCCTTCAACTATGCTGTTGCTTGGGCTTGAACTGTTTCTAGTCTTTTTACTTGCAATATCAGCTTCATCTTCTTCCTCCATGTTTAGTGTATTAATCTTGTGCATGATGGATGCCTTGAAAGAGAATTCAAAGATACAATTCAAATAGAAGTGGTCAAACAGGTTTTAGAAATCCCTCCACTTGCTTTCTCCAAAACAAACAATCGTCTGATAAAGAAGGTTCCATAGCGTTGAAGAGTGTAGAACTGGTTTTCCAAACTAATCCAAATAGAAAGTACAAACCCTAACACTCAACCTTGATGGAAATGTATTGTTCTATATACATAGTGGACTCATATTTTATTCTCTGGATGATTATAACCCGTGTATACATGTAATGCACATCCATGGATGAAGTCCTGACTGGGAATACTTAAAACCAGGCCATGAGAGATAAAATTAATTAACCCTCTAAAACAATAAATGTTAAGGGTGTTAAGGAAGACTGTGCTGTTGATTCTTGCTGTCGGTGGTCACGGATTTGTTTTGTCCCTTACCAACGACCGCTCCTAATAACAACAAATTTAAGTTTTTATTTTTAATTTCTTTTTTGGCTTCTTCCAAGGTTCCCAGTCTCTCATAGAAGATATTAATTTGTAGTATATGATATATGATGGTCCTCTCACTACATTGGATTCAATGCTCATTCTTATCAATTGGACATCACAGCTCCCATCATTGTTTCTCTGTGCACGGTTTCTTTTTTATGATTTTTCTGTGACCCCATGAAAAATGCTGATTTTGGAGGAGATTCTTCTTTCACATGGAATATTGGCCAACATGCACTGGAAGAGACAACATAACCAACTGGAAGCAGATGATGAGTAACTATAATGTATATATACATAAAACAGTATTGCAGATCGTGCATGTCAATAGATAAGATCAAATGAAAAGTATTACAAATTGTTTTTGATAAAAAAAAAAAGAGAAAAAACTGTAGAAAATCTTCAAAGTGGAGAGAGGCTGTGTTTTTAGGGGTGAGGGACAAACGGAGGTCTCCAGAACTGCATGTGAAGATCAAATCAGGACAGGAAAAAAATCATAGTTTGCTGTGCATATCAAGTGTTGAGAAGCTTAGAGGAGTGGAACTGTAGCAAGGGTCAACTCGTATCATTATTTCAATCATATGGGGGAAAGGCAGGATGTCAGCTAAACATAATATTATATGGTGCTTGAGAATACACCAACCCTTTTTATGCGGATCAAACCAATATGATGGAATGAGTATGTTTGACTTTTCTTTACCCATCACATTCCCATGCATGTCATTGTAACATCATGGCCATATATGCATCCATGATGACCATGAATAATGAACAAAACATGGGTCCAACAAACTTTATATATCAACTGGCCCAAGTTACTTGTTTTCTAAATCTTGTCCAATGGTCATAAGCCCATGTTTGTTTATCTCTCGGTCGTCAAAATCAGCCTAACAAGTGATCCGAGCAGGAGATAAAATAAGCGAATACGACTTATTTTCTGTACCCCTTTGTTTCCCCTTTTATGGCTCGTTTTACCTTCAGTTTCTCCAACTGGGACTACCTTGGGTTTCTGCTTGGATGCCGAGAAATCGTAGGAAATTCAAAGAAAACGAGGAATCTTTTGACTCCAGCTAGGACCTGTAAATCTTCGTTCGACTCATATTAGACTTGTGTTTTTGTTTAGTTTGCGCGAACTGAAGCTCGCATAGTGAAAATATTCGCCCATCTACCCCGCTGATGGCCATCTCTCGTGGGTTCACCTCGTTGACTGAATTATCTTTGCCTTTTCATCGGCACCGCTTTCTGGCTCCTCAATTTTATCAATCTTTCTTTTCAAAACACAGTCTTGGAACAACTCCGACTAACGTCTGCAGCCACCGATATCCGAACTTTGTTCGTAGAAAAAGGCAACCAAAATTTAGTATCTTCACGTCGGTGGAATTAAACCAGTATGTAACGAGTGATGATGAAGATGAAATAAGCGAAGGCTTCTTCGAGGCAATTGAAGAATTAGAGAGAATGACGAGGGAACCCTCTGATGTTCTTGAAGAAATGAATGATAAGTTGTCATCAAGAGAGTTAGTTAGTTCTAGTTTACTTTTCTTAAGAAGGCAGAGATTCTTGGTGCGTCCTTGAAGTATTTGAATGGCTAAGAAAGGAGAACAAGGTTGATGATGAGACAATGGAACTCATGGTTTCAATTATGTGTAGTTGGGCCACGAAGCTGATTGAAGGAGAGGGTGATGCCGATGATGTGGTAGATCTACTTGTGGACATGGATTGCGTGGGGTTTAAACCTGATTTTAGAATGATTGAGAAAGTGATTTCGATGTATTGGGAGATGGATAAAAGGATGGGAGCTGTAATATTTGTGAAAGAAATTTTGAGAAGGGGAATTTCATATGAAGAGGATGATAGTGAAGGACAGAAGGGTGGACCGGCTGGCTATCTTGCTTGGAAGATGATGATATGCTATCTTAAGCTTTGATTATTTGTATGCGTCTATATTAGATTGTGTTAGAAATTGAATTTGCTGTTCTTTTCATGTAATAGGCTATTGAATCAAATTTGATTGATACTGAAAATAATGGTCCCTGCTGTTTATGCTTAATTATTTGTTAGTATTTCTTGTACTTGTTTGTTGCCTGTATGGATCATTACTTTCTTGATCATCTATAGGGTTGAGAAGTTCAACCATACTGTGATCACTATGTTATACTTGGCCAGGACATTATTTTTATGTGCACAAGTCATACAATTGAATGTTGTGGTTTCTTGTTTTTACCCTGCATTGAAAGCAATTTCTTAGGGGTTGTTTGGTTCGTGGAAAAGATTATTAACAGGAGTAATAATCTTTTCTGGAATCTTATTCTCATGTTTGGTTTGCTCTCATCCCCATCAGTCGAAAAAAGAATATTATCAATTGTAGTCCTAATTTTGACAAATGGCATTCCCATCCATTCATTAGGTTGCTTTCAATCGATGACATTGTTTTAGCTATTTGTGCTTCCCAGAAGGAGAGTAGTGCAACATCACGGTTGGTTGCTAGGTTTGAGGTTTCAAGCTCCCTACGTAGGAGGAAAACTTTGTCCTGGTTATTGAGAGGCTATATTAAAGGAGGGCATATCGGCGATGCTGCTGAAACGAAGGTCAAAATGCTCGACTTGGGTTTATATCCAGAATGTTTAGACAGGGTAGCTGTTCTGCAGGAACTGAGGAAAAGGATCCACCTGCCAGGTAACATTGGAACTTATATTGATCTCTGCAAACGACTATACAATGCGAGCTTGATTGGACCTTGCCTTTTATATCTGTATACAAAGAAGTATAAGCTTTAGGTTATAAGAATGCTTTAAAGGTTTAATAATGGAATTTTCAGTACACATTCTAGGTCAAGTATTTATTGGAAAAGCATAGGAGTTGTGTGAACCTGGGTTTTAGATAGTTTTAGACCGCCTTATGTAAGATATGCAGGCCAGCATTGAACACTAGAAATACACGATGAGCATTTTGTTCTTTGGGTCATTTAAATATTGTGTGTATATATTATAAATGTAACTAACGAGACTGACTACTTATTTACGTGTTCTAATCAGCTTCTGATATGTTCTGTTGTAGTCTATCCATTTTATTTTTACTTTAGTTCTTTGTTTGTTGTTACAGACCTTACTACAACAAACTGTTTTTATCATACAAACAAATCTAGAATGAATCTAGCAGACAAGAAGCTGTTTATACCATCATTCAAAATTCTTGTGCTTCACTTTAGACAAAACGTCTATCTGAAAAGATGAAAAATGTTTGACATTCAGAAATGGTGTAGAAGATGTCGAGAGGCAAGACAAGCGATTAATAATACTTACCTTGTTTCTAAATTCCTTGACGAGATGCAACTGCAGTTGATGTTACGGCTATTTCAACCCCACTTGATAAAGTTCCCTTGTAGACGGTGCCATCGGAGAAGGTACCAATTACAGTGTTTTGCTTTGTGAACTGTATACATTAGGTGCGTCTCTATATTATTTTATTTTACAGGTTAAGGATATATTTTACTTGGATGGATCGTCCGACCTTTAAATTGAGGTTTGGCTACCTAGGATTGATGAGACAGCTTCAAAATGCACAAAGATTTGGATTGAGATAGCTTCTCAAGTTTAATGGTTACATAGCACGCTGTAAATTCACCTTAATTATTATTTATGTTAATTAAGTTTGGATGTAAGACCATGGTCTCACTATTCTTTCATCATTACAACATATATAATCATAAAGAATACGTTGATTAATTAATCAAGTAAAAGCTGGTTTCGATCTTGCATATCAAAATCTGAACAAGTTTCTTCCCATTCACAATTATATAGAATATCATTTTAACCGATATACAAAGACGGGATTTAATATAGTTGGAAATATATATATATTGGGTCAACGTCAGTAGAATACAAACCCCACATCAGAGTCGGAATACTTGAGGTGTAAGCGTTGGTTGAGTAATAAATCTACACATAATAATGATGATATACGACAATAAAGCTTTCAACGAATAATAATGCTAATATATTCATAAGCATTTGATGCAATAATAATTTATTTTACATTTCTATAAAAATAATATAAATTCAATTTTAATAGATTATATTATTAAAAAGAATCGGAAATAGGCAAAATTCTTCTCGTGATGCTTTGAAGAAAAAAAATTCTTCAAATATTACATTTGATAATTTATTTGCTGAAATAGCGTGATTTCTAAAGTAAAAGGACTGGTCGCCATGCCGTACGAGCGTCATGCTTATTTGCTAAAATGGGTTTGTGCTTATTGCTGCCATTCTGGTTTAGTTGCTGTTGCCATTCTGGTTTACCATGCAGCAAGGGAGCAGAGGTAAAAAAGAGATTAGGATTGAAAAACTGAAGAACCAGTAAGCTTCAACTTCCATAAGGGAAAAAAGTTAAGAAGAAGAGAGAGGAAATGAACCTTGGATTGCTTGGCGACCTTTCTTAGTTGCGCATAGACGACATGACGACCTGCATAGGTTGCCCGGAGTACCTGGCGACCAACTCTATTACTGTAGAAATCACGCAATTTCAGCAAATAATTGATCAAATGCAATAAATGAAGAATTTTTTTTCTCAAATCATTATGTGGGCAAAATGGCCGAAATAGGCAAAATTTCTTTAAATAATATAGTGTTTAACTATCAATAACAATAAAACACTATTCCCATATACAATGGGGTAAGGGGGAGATAAGGTAGTAGGTTGCCTCCAACGCCAGGTTGAGAGAAGCTTTCGTGGAAGAACTCCGGCAGTCATAAAAATTACAAATAAAAATAAAATGCAATGCATGTATAAATAAATATATAGTTGACCCTTTTTTTAATAAGTAGTCTTCTTATGCGCGTCTGTAATGAGAAGTAATCCCTGTAAATAAATCCTTGCATAAAAATTTCTGCAATATTGACAGAAACGTAAGATCCGACTAAATTTAAAAAGAGGAAACATGAAGAGAATGATACACAGAAGTCAACGATAGCAAGCTACGAAAAGGAGTAAAGTAAAATGTGTTAAAACCTAAACTAAGACAACACTATTCCGCTACCCTAGATCTAAGCCTTCATAAATTCCACTGACATAAACGTGAAGAAAGTAGAAGTCAGTGAAATTACTACAAATGCATTAAAAAGAAGACATAGATGTTATGTACCAATCGCAAAGATTATGAAATTATTTTGCTCCATAGCTTCGGCTTGACTAGTGAACGAAACAACAGATAAAAAAGAGAGATTAGGATTAGAAAACTGAAGAACCAGTAAGCTTCAACTTCCATACGGGAAGAAAGTTAAGAAGAAGAGAGAGGAAATAAACCTTGGATTGCTTGGCGACCTTTCTTAGATGCGCATAGACGACATGACGACCTACATAGGTTGCCTGGAGTACCTGGCGACCAACTCTATTACTGTAGAAATCACGTTATTTCAGCAAATAATTGATCAAATGCAATAAATGAAGAATTATTTTCCCTCAAATCATTATGTGGGCAAAATGGCCGAAATAGGCCAAATTTCTTTAAATAATATAGTGTTTGACTATCAACAACAATGAAACACTATTCTCATATACAATGGGGTAAGGGGGAGATAGGGTAGTAGGCTGCCCCCAACGCCAGGTTGAAAGCAGCTTCCGTGGAAGACCTCCGACAGTCATAAAAATTACAAATAAAAATAAAATGCAATGTATGTATAAATAAATACATAGTTGACCTTTTTTTTAATAAGCAGTCTTCTTATGCGCGTCTGTAATGAGAAGTAATCCATGCATAAAAATCTCTGTAATATAGACAGAAACGTAAGATCCGACTAAATTTAAAAAGAGGAAACATGAAGAGAATGATACACAGAAGTCAACGATAGCAAGCTACGAGAAGGAGTAAAGTCAAATGTGTTAAAACCTAAACTAAGGCAACACTATTCTGCTACCCTAGATCTAAGCCTTCATAAATTCCACTGACATAAACGTGAAGAAAATAGAAGTCAGTGAAATTACTACAAATGCATTAAAAAGAAGACATAGATGTTATGTACCAATCGCAAAGATTATGAAATTGTTTTGCACCATAGCTTCGGCTTGACTAGTGAACGAAACAACAAATAAAAAAGAGAGATTAGGATTGGAAAACTAAAGAACCAGTAAGCTTCAACTTCCATAAGGGAAGAAAGTTAAGAAGAAGAGAGAGGAAATGAACCTTGGATTGCTTAGCGACCTTTCTTAGATGCGCATAGACGACATGACGACCTGCATAGGTCGCCCGGAGTACCTGGCGACCAACTCTATTACTATAGAAATCACGCTATTTCAGCAAATAATTGATCAAATGCAATAAATGAAGAATTTTTTTGCTCAAATCATTATGTGGGCAAAATGACGAAATAGGTAAAATTTCTTTAAATAATATAGTGTTTGACTATCAATAACAATGAAACCCTATTCCCATATACAATGGGGTATGAGGGAGATAGGGTAGTAGGCTGCCCCTAACGCCAGGTTGAGAGCAGCTTTCGTGGAAGACCTCCGGCAGTCATAAAAATTACAAATAAAAATAAAATGCAATGCATGTATAAATAAATACATAGTTGACCCTTTTTTTAATAAACATTCTTCTTATGCGCGTCTGTAATGAGAAGTAATCCCTGCAAATAAATCCCTGCATAAAAATTTCTGTAATATAGACAGAAACGTAAGAACCGACTAAATTTAAAAAGAGGAAACATGAAGAGAATGATACACAGAAGTCAACGATAGCAAGCTACGAGAAGGAGTAAAGTCAAATGTGTTAAAACCTAAACTAAGGCAACATTATTCCGCTACCCTAAATCTAAGCCTTCATAAATTCCACTGACATAAACGTGAAGAAAGTAGAAGTCAGTGAAATTACTACAAATGTATTAAAAAGAAGACATAGATGTTATAACTTATGACTGTGACCCGTACTACTCGGCTACCCTGGTCTTAAGTCTCCATACTTTACTATCAGAGGTCATGTCCTCGGTAAGGGCTAAATCCTTCAAGTCAGATCTCAAGCAGTCTTCCCACATCCGTCTTGGTCGTCATCTCCTTCTGGCAGCGTCGACTGTAATCAACTCTACCCTCCTGACCGTATTCGACGATTGTCACCTAAGAACATGCCCAAACCACCGTAGTCTTCCCTCCCTCAATTTTTCGGACACAGGCACCACCCCTAAGGACGTCCTAATAGCATAGTTTGGTGTCATGTCCCACAGAGTCCTACCATATGCCCATCGAAGCATTCTCATTTTTGCTGCCTCCATCCTCCTTACGTGACCCTTCTTGATTGCCCAACATTCTGACCATAGAGTATATAAATAAGAGCAGTAATTAGCGTGAGTTAACTTTTAAGAAACTAATACCATCAAGATACTTATTTTCCTTTTTGTGTCAAAATTAGAGATAATTTATTTCTCGGACTCTCACAATTTGAAAATCATGAATTTTCGAAAACTCGACACTCAGATCTTACGTTTGATTTATACCTTGTGTAAATTAATTAAGGCTTTTTAGTTTAATTAAATCACTTATTAAGTAGATTAATGATTATCCATTTTAGCATTTACATTGCTTGTTTATGATGTACATTAGGGCAATTTTAAAAAAATGTGTGTACATATATGTAGAGTATGACTCCACGCAACTGGCAACGAATAAGCAACAAAGAATGAGAAATATAGTATATATTTTAGTACAAGTATTGATGTTTGATTCATTAAATAATTAATTTATAATAAATATTATAAAAAATTATTATG